TGGGGGCTGAGCCCTTTCCAGCTGTCTTGGCTTAGTGGGTGCTACAAACACTCACTGGAGCATGCCACAGCCACAGGCTGGTGGTCGGAGTGTCCTGCAGTACGCCAGGTTCCCCAGGATGATGCGTTATCCATGCAGCAGGAAGGGGCTGTGGTGGAAGTTGCAGCCAAAAGGCTGTAAGGAGTGTGAGAGAGCAGTGAGGGGGTTTCTAAATCCTACCTGGAGCTGTGTCGATGAGGCCAGAGACAGCAAAACACGAGGCCCGGACAGGCGAGGTGGAGGTGCAGGACTGGCTTGAAATAGTGCCAGGTGCTATTAGTGCAGGCAAAGGCTCTGCTTCGCCTCCGCCCTCCTGCTTCCCCTTCCCATGCTGCAGCCTCCTCCCTCCTGCCTGTGACATTGTCTGCACCTGCACCAGGCTGGGGCTGGCGAGGGAAAGGGGTCAGAGTAAGGTCCTTGCCCCCAACCTGGTGAAGCAGCACATTGGGGCAACCGTCTCCCCATGAGACGGTCATGGGGATAAAGGATCATCCTAGGGGACTGCAGGACACCCCAAATGCCACCCCAAATGCCACCCCATGGCCATGGCGCGCATCAAGGTGGGTTCGCAGCACCCACTAAGCCAAGACAGCTGGAAGGGGCTCAGCCCATGATGCACACTGTGCATGGAGCTGCCACGGGCACGTGGACGTGCAGTCTCATGCATGGAGACCTGGGGAGACGTGCAGGAAAACTCCTGACAGAAGCAACGGGGGCAGGTTCAGTGAGACATGACAGATGTACGAAGGTGCAGAAAGGATCGCTGTATTTGGGAATTTGCAAGTGGGAAGAAGCTTCCAGGCTTTCCTACCAAAAGGTTTGCAAACGGGTGCAGGGCACGCCAGATGTGGCCCTGGGCACCACACAACCCCTCACCAGCTGCTCTGTCCCTCCGTTACCCACCCTCACTGCATTTATCTCCCCTATGGGGAGAGACGTCCCTTCTCCCCAAGCCGTGTGGCCTCGCCAGCAGCTGGGAATGGCCCCGAGGGGTTGGCCAGCCCAGCTCGGCCCCGGGAGCAACACTACTGAGGCCATGCCTGGGCTTTCCTCTCTGGCTCTGGGCACCCGGTGGGGTGCAAGGAGCTTTTCTCCTCAGTGGTTTCTGCTGCAGTCCCAGCTTTGTCCCTGCTGGAGGCACCCCAAAGCTCCCCAGGGCTTTGGGATGGGCCTGGATGTGGCCTTCAGGGCTCCTGCAGCTCCCTGTCGCTGGAGCAGGAGGTGGAGGGGTTTGGACCTGCTGAAGACAGTCCCTAATTGTTTCCTGATCCTTCCTGGGTGCCGTGGCCGCCATCCTCTGTACCGCCCTTGCTCTGGGCATCTTTGGCAGCTTTCTCCGC